ATATTGTATTCTTATTCTTATTTTTATTTTAAAATTGGTCGGCTTTCCGGAAAGGCAAGTACAAGAATTTCAGTACACAGGGTGTAAACAGTGTGTAAATGACAAAAAAATCTTTGAATACATGAACACATTTTGTGCATTAGTACAATATTTCCTCCGAAATGTCTTCAAACATTTAATAAATACAAATAAGAACAAAAACACAAACTATGAACCAGAGAATAAAGGAAACGTATATCATTAAAACATGCAGAGGGTTTCCTGTTGGAGTAAACACGCCCCCCGCTGCAGATGTTGGTCTCACCACAGCTGGATGGAAACTGTGTGTGACTGCGTTGGCTCTTCTGTGGTGAATGTTACTTACTTGCATCAAAGAGCCGCACAGTTCCTCGTGAAGTTTCCTGCTGCGTGGAAAGTCCCGTCCTGTAAACGGAGGTTCTGGTCGGTTCCGCTCGCTCTCATCAGCTGCGCGGGACATTTGTTCATTAACCGAACGAGCTTTAAAAGAGACGTCCAAACTTCCTCCAGATAACGAAACGCGTCACAAGCCGCCTGCTTTTCATCTCGGCGGGAGGGAAATGAAAAACGTGTAGTTAATCTGAAGAAATAAATATTCTTTGCTTTGTTGAGCTTCACCACTTCAAGGCGTCTTTACTGCGACACCGAAAACTACAGCATATAAAACAATAAGAGGTTGGACTTTTATTTAATACTAAAACCTGAAAGGACGATAAAATACAAATTAAACACATTTATTTCAAGCACTCATCTAATGTCTTAAAAGTAGAAGAAACTTAATTAAGGCTGTTTGTATATCGGCTGTAGTGATGCCTTGCTGAAGGGCTCTCATCTGTGTGTGTGTGTGTGTGTGTGGCTGCGTGATCCAGGTCACGTACAGCTTGTTTATCTCTGCCTCCACTGCAACAAACCAACTGAGAGGAAGCAGGAGCTCAGGATGCAAGGATGGAGGGAAGGAAGGGTAGAAGGAAGGAAGGAAGGATGGATGGATGGATGGAAGGAAGGAATGAAGGATGGATGGGTGGATGGGTGGAAGGAATGAAGGATGGATGGGTGGAATGAAGGAATGAAGGATGGATGGAGGGAAGGAAGGAATGAAGGATGGATGGGTGGAATGAAGGAATGAAGGATGGATGGAGGGAAGGAAGGAATGAAGGATGGATGGGTGGATGGGTGGAAGGAAGGAAGGAAGGAAGGACGGATGGCTGGATGGAAGGAAGGAATCACGGATGCATGGATGGAAGGAAGGAATGAAGGATCGATGGATGGAAGGAAGGAATGAAGGAAGGAATGAATGACGGATGGATGGAAGGAAGGAATGAATGAAGGATGGATGGAAGGAAGGAAGGAAGGAAGGAAGGATGGAAGGAATGAAGGATGGATGGAAGGAAGGAATGACGGATGGATGGGTGGATGGGTGGAAGGAAGGAAGGAAGGATGGAAGGAAGGAAGGAAGGAATGACGGATGGATGGATGGAAGGAAGGAATGAAGGATGGAAGGAATGAACGATGGAAGGAATGAAGGATGGATGGAAGGAAGGAAGGAAGGAATGAAGGATGGAAGGAATGAAGGATGGATGGAAGGAAGGAATGAAGGATGGAAGGAAGGAAGGAATGAAGGATGGATGGTGGAGGGAAGGAAGGAAGGAAGATGGACAAACAGACGATTCCTTGACAAGAAAATAACAAAAATGTAACGTGAAAAATACCTGCAGCTCACAAACAAAGGTAGTAAAAAGTACAACTTTGAGATTTACTGGAGTAACAGCGTAAAGTAGCAGGACATGGAGATACACAGCTGAGGTAAAAGTACTTGAATATGTACTTTTACTTCACATCTCATTGGTTGAATTTAAGATGGAAACTTTAAAAAGTCTCAGAGAATAAAGACGAGAAAACAAATGTTTTACTGCCTCTATTTCCGTTTAGAAGATACAGTGCGTGTGTGTGTGTGTGTGTGTCAGACAGTAGAGGTTTGCTTGTGTCTTTACAAGATGTTCCACTGCTGCAGCGAGGAGGGAGGAGGGGACAAGGGGGCGACAAAGGGGGGAGGAGGAGGCGAGAGACAAAGTGGAGCTTCGTCAGTGTGACTTCTTCAGGTCGGTCTGGACGGAGCAGAGCAACAATCTTCTCCTCCTCCTCCCTCACATTACAGTGGCTTTGGAAGGATTTCACTTCATTAAACACCACAGAAGAAGACGGAGAAACAAACAGGTGGGATTCAAACACATTTTCTTGCTTTTGTCTTTAATCAGGAAACATTTATTACCAAAATATGTCAAACATACAAGGACTGCATGACAGCAGACAGTTAGACGACATAGTGCAAGAATAAAATATAAGGCTAATAATAATAATAATAATAATGTGGACTGGTGAATTTATTTGACTGATTCATTGAATCAAAGAGAAGGTTGAAGTTCATTTAAGTTGAACTCTGAATGAAGAGAAGATATAAAAATGAGCTGATTAGTGTAATTTAAATAACTTTATAATGAACTTAGTTATTTATTGTCCCTGCGGAGCTTTAATGTTCGCTTCAGCTGCAGAGATGGAGCTTCGGTTCCACACAGACAGAATGACATGAACGCGTTAGCGTTAGCTCGACTAACGAGCCCAACGACTGACGGAACCGGCCCCTCTAATCTGAACTGCTGCGGCCCCCCGCTGGACGGAGGTGTGACCCCCTCCACCCGCCTTCTCCCAACGCGGGCTCCATCTTTGCCCTACGGCGAAGAACCACCAGCCGGGTCCTCTCTCATTCTGTCTCTCTAACCGACCCGGTTTCTGTTTGTCTTCTTAACCCCGGGTCTCAGTCCCCGTCCCCCCGGCCCCCCGGCCCCGCCTCCACCACCACAGCCCACCTGAGAGAAGGCGAGGAACCAGTCACCCGATGGGTTCCAGGCGGAGCTGCGTGTTCCCCGTGCTGCTGGTCGCCTGGTGCCTGACGCTGGTCGGCGGCCGCGGCAACTCCTCGGCGGAGCCCGCGGGCCTCGGCGCCGCCGAGGACTCCGACGCCGAGCCGCATCTGGCGCAGGAGACGGCCATCGAGCCGACGGTGTCGTCGCCCTCGCTGGAGAAGGGCGAGTGGAGGCCCGCCGACAAGCTGAAGCGCGCACACCAGAGGAGGCCGCCGCCTCACCCGGCGACCTCCAACCGCTCGGCCGCGGCTCGGTCCCGTCTGCCGCCGAGGTGCCTGCACGCCACCGCCATCAAGAACGCCTTCAAGTACATCAACACGGTGCTGTCCTGCCTCATCTTCGCCGTGGGGATGGTCGGCAACGCCACGCTGCTGAGGATCATCTGCCAGAATAAAAGCATGAGGAACGGACCCAACGCGCTGATAGCCAGCCTGGCTGTGGGCGACCTGATATACATCGCCATCGACATCCCCATCAACGTCTACAAGGTACGCAGCCCGACAGGCGCCATCCATCACACGGGAACGCAAAGAATAACTACCATAAAAGCACATCGGTTGTTATATTGTGTGTTTGATGCACTGATAACAGTGAATAGCTCATTTGTGTGAGTTTACAGGAGCAGAATTGCATCATGGGACACACAACTCCCTCCTGTGACGGCAGTGTGTGTGTGTTGTGTGTCTCTGTCGGGAGGTTGAGTGTTACGCTGATAACGGCACTAAAATATCCCACTGACTGAGATAACACACACACACTCTGGGATATCGTGTTAATCTGTGTGTGTGTGTGTGTGTGTGTCTGTGTGTGTGTGTGCATGTGCAGCTCCTGGCGATGCGATGGCCGTTTGCTGGCAGCGTGTTCGGTCTGTTCCTCTGTAAGCTGTTCCCCTTCCTGCAGAAAGCTTCAGTCGGCATCACCGTCCTCAACCTGTGTGCGCTGAGTGTGGACAGGTAACACACACACACACACACACCGAAAAAAACTACTTTTCTTACCCAAAGGCCACCGTGCCATACTCCTGCCTAGTGTTAAAGTTAAATGCTAAAGAATGCTGACAGCCTTACAATCTCAGCTTCTGATAAATGAGGATGATGCTTTGTGGCTGAATCGGAGTGGTGTCAGCCTGTCAATCACATTAAGGCCGCCCAAGCATCCCTGCTGTGTTGAAGAGACTTGAAACTAGAGACTGAGACCTGAGATAAACTCATGTTTACAATGTTTACTGAGGGAATAAATCAAGAGAGAAGTAGACTCTTATTACCTCATAGACGTCTATGGGAGCAGAGGAGTCGCCCCCTGCTGGTCACTACAGAGAAGTAGAGTCATTTCCTCATAGACGTCTATGGGAGCAGAGGAGTCGCCCCCTGCTGGTCACTACAGAGAAGTAGAGTCATTTCCTCATAGACGTCTATGGGAGCAGAGGAGTCGCCCCCTGCTGGTCACTACAGAGAAGTAGAGTCATTTCCTCATAGACATCTATGGGAGCAGAGGAGTCGCCCCCTGCTGGTCACTACAGAGAAGTAGAGTCATTTCCTCATAGACGTCTATGGGAGCAGAGGAGTCGCCCCCTGCTGGTCACTACAGAGAAGTAGAGTCATTTCCTCATAGACGTCTATGGGAGCAGAGCAGTCGCCCCCTGCTGGTCACTACAGAGAAGTAGAGTCATTTCCTCATAGACGTCTATGGGAGCAGAGGAGTCGCCCCCTGCTGGTCACTACCCAGAATGCAGGTTGTTTACCCATCCAGAAGCAATAAATAACAACAACCTGCGCAGGTACCGCGCGGTGGTGTCCTGGTCCCGGGTGCAGGGCACCGGCGTCCCCGCGGTGACGGCGCTGGAGATCGTGGCGATCTGGCTGCTGTCGGCGCTGCTCGCGGTGCCGGAGGCCGTCGGCTTCGACATGGTCACCTTTGAATACAGGAACGTTACCATGACGACCTGCATGCTGCAGCCCAAGACGCCCTTCATGACCGTGAGTGTGTAACAGCAAATAGACTGTGGAGGGATTTAACTACCTACTAGTACTGTAGCTACATGTCTGAGGTACTTCTACTAGAATATACAGTACATTTACTACTACTTTGCTGTAGTTTTACTGATCATTGCTTCTCACACAACACAGACGCTACAAACATATGATGATCGTAAAGAATATGTCAAATACTTTTACTGATACTGATCCCGGTGTCCGTGGGAACCGCTGGAGACCATCTCGTGTGTTCTCGGGCCGAGGTCGGTTTAGAACGTCATTTCCTGTCTGCGGGTCACGACCGGACCAAACAGGCACCTCCAAAGTGATCCTGGGTCAGCTGACCCGCCATCACTCAGGATCAAACTGACCAATCAAATGTTTGCGTGTTGCAGAGCTTCATGGGGTTAACTGTTACAGTTAAAACGCTCTTAAACTCCTCTGCTCTAATTACCGGTTCTAGACAAACTGGACTACAAACGTTTTGAGAGGTTAATAAAACGCACACTTCCCATCGTGTTCCAGTTCTACCGCGACGCCAAGGACTGGTGGCTGTTCGCCTTCTACTTCTGCGTGCCCCTGGTCTGCTCCGCCGTCTTCTACGGCCTGATGACCTGCGAGATGCTCCGGCACCAGAAGGGGAGCCTGAGGATCGCGCTGAGCGAACACCTGAAGCAGGTAAACGCACGCGCACACAGACGCACACACACACACACACACACACACACACACACACACAGGTGTTTGACGAGCTCTGGTTTCTCTCCAAAGCGCCGGGAATTAGCCAAAGCCGTGTTCTGCCTGGTGCTGATCTTCGCTCTGTGCTGGTTTCCACTTCACCTCAGCCGCCTGCTGAAGAGGACCGCCTACAAGTCCCATGATGCACACCGCTGCCAGCTGTTAAAGTGAGGGGGGGGGGAGGAGCCCACACATCCACAAAAACACATGTACTAATACTTTGGAGATGTTTGTCATCCTCCTCCTTTGTAGAGCATCTGAACACTTGGCCCTCAGCTGATGCGCTTCTTCTTCTGTGGTTGCAGTTTCCTGTTGGTGCTCGACTACCTCGGCATCAACATGGCGACCATCAACTCCTGCATCAATCCCATAATCCTCTACTTCGTCTCCAAGAAGTTCAAAAACTGCTTCAAGGTACAAACACCGAGACACGAGACGAGCGGCGGCGAACGTCAGAGTGACGTCACGACGGGGTCAGAGGGCGTGAGACAGAGACAGGAGGGGAGTGATAAACACTGGAAGGTCGTGACCTCCGTGATAAGGGAGACTCGTGGGAAGGGACCGGGGACGTGTCTGTTTAACGGCTCGTAGGGATATTTGGGGACATCAGAGACGGAGAGCATGACGTGCGCAAATAATACCAGATTGCTTTTACTGTCCGGAGACAAGGTCCACCCTATATACAAATATTAGTATTCATTTAAGATAAATATTAGTTTAAAAGGAGAATTAATCCTACCCGTCAGTCTGCCCCTTGATAGTTAGCTTTAAGCTAGGTACAAGCTATCAAGCTAACGTGAGCTACCAGGCTATCCGGCGTAACGCCTACATCATTTAGCTTATTAACGCTACATAATTCAAGTCTTTCATTGTTGTTGAAAATGTATCGGCGGTGCTTTGTCTCCCCCCTCCGGAAGTGACAGCAATCACAACAACTGTGTCCACATGTGCCGTTTACCTGCGACCAGCCGCTCGCGTCAATGGCGCCTCACGGCTACAACAGCACGTGACGTTTAACAGTAAAAGATATTTGGATGAACTGATCACACGTAGAGACTCAAAATAGCGACTTTGTCGTCTCTAAGTGATTAAATGGCAGCTTTCTAGTAGCTTAAAGACAGTATTTGAGCCATTCAAGTAAAGCTCAAGACGCCAAGCGAAGACATTGTACTTCCGCTCTAAACCGGAAGTACGTTTACATAGTGACGCAATGCGGAAGCGCTCTTGTTCAAGTAAAAATGATTATATATATATATATATATATATACATATATATATATATATATATAGAGTATAATGCTGAGACAAAAAGTGAACAGCGGAAAGGTTGTGTCTCGCACTGGAGATGTCAGGTTGATAAGTACTTGACGGAGAGTCAAAGAAAATGTTGCATTGTGGGAAATGTAGGATTCGTGATAGAGACTAAATATCGGGCCTCCGTCGCGTATGATTCTGTAAATCGTACACAAGTAAATTGCTTGAAGTTTCCCTTTAATAAAACTCTGTCTCTCTTTCTGTCTCTCTGTCTGTCTCTCTGTCTGTCTGTCTCTGCAGTCCTGTCTGTGCTGTTGGTGTTATTCTGGCTCTCTCTCCAACAGTATGCTGCCTATCCACCACGGGACGAGCCAGCAGTACAAGCACACTGACCACTGAGAGAGAGAGTCATCCTCATCATCATCATCCTCATCGCACACTGAGAGGCATCGGTGTCTAAATGTTCTTTGTGCAATTATTAAGCCCAAGATATTACAGTTTACTACAGACTAGCTATTGAATGCTGAAATATAGTATATATAGACAATATGGCCAAAAGCCTGTGGTCCAACTGCTGCCTTGGTGTTGTTTCCCATCCACTTGAGTTATTCTACGTTATTTTATTTATTTATTTGTAAAGACAACACACTCAACACGTGCAAAGGCTGTAAAAGCAACAATAACGGTGCAATGTGGCATTTTGTTTTGTAGTTCATTTAGAAGTTTTAAAAACATCTCTCGACACTTTGTGTGCAATGTGGTCGGTGGTCGTTTTTACCTTTGGCCATATTGTTTATCTATTACTTTGTGTTGTAGGCAAAATATTCCATTGCGTCTCCACCTTTAAAGAAAGGAAACCAGTTTAAAGTAGTGTCTGCGCCACCTGGAGGCTGAAGTGTTAACTACATCCCACAATAACAAAGTGTTGATGATCTTTCTGTTCAGAACACCAACTGAGGTAAAGGCAGGTCACAAGTTGACAGAATTTTTTTTAATTGAACTGCAAGGGAAATATTAATGCGTGGACCACATTTGCGACGCATTAATGCACCAATAATTATAATCAATAATACTGGTTATATTTACCTTATTTTAACGGTTTGACATCACTATTATTACTATCTGTATAATGATCTTGTGTTCCTTATAATATTCTGACATATTACTGTTTATTTAGGTGGAGGTCCGTCTCTTCCTGCCCTTTTTGTTCTGTATTAACTTTTTTACCTGTGTATTTGAATAAACTTATTTATAAACTTTAAACTACCTCTTCCACCAATAAATTTAAACTAGGAGTAGTTGTGTTTTTTGTTGTTGTTGTTGTTGTGGTGCATACAGTGTTGCAGTAAAATAAAACGTTCTTTGTTATTTCCTTTTATTTAATAAATAACTTTTGATGTAAAACGTAAAACCAATGAATAAATAACACAAGAGCATTTTGGTAAAATCAAGGTTCTTATTCTTGAGGCGCTTCCTGTCGCCCACGTGACCGACGGTTGAGACTCCTGCTCGTGACGCGCCAGCGACCGGACGAACGGGGAGAACCGCCGTTAAAACACGGACACCGGCGGCTCGCGGCTGACCGCCACCGAATCAACGGAGAATAACGGCGGAGGAGATCGATCGGGTCCCGATCGATCGATCCGGCCTCGGTGGCACCGGGCGGAGGAGGGGATGCGTTGCCTGGTAACGGAACCGGGACCGGGGCGTTGAAGAGGAACCACCGTCGCTCCTTGTCTCCAGCGGTCCGAACATTTCAATATTCAACGACAAATGGATGTATTGTAACCGTGAAACCGATGAATACGTTCGTGTACTTTGTGTTTTTTAATTAATACAGCGGTACCTCCCCATCGCGTCGCGTTTAATGTGACGTTCACAGCGAGCGATGCACGTTAATTATTAATTAAAAAAGAGGTTTTAATGTCCGCGACGTCGCAATATTCGGCCAGAACATGATGTTTGTTTCATAGAAATATGGAGACCGACAGTTCTTTGAACATACTACTAGTTAACTCTTTAATAGAAGGGTTACGTCATGTCAAGTGAGTTTAATGAAGTGATTTAATTAAGTCTCCTAGATGGAGATATTCCACTTTAAAAGCGGGGAAAGGAGCAATAAGCACTTTAACAATGTCCTGCTTCTCTGTGTCACAGACAGTGAAGCATTTAATGACTGAATCCAGTTTATGTCCACACAATTAGCTAGTGACGTCACAGGTGCCAGCTCGTCTAATAGCTGGCTAGTGCTAGCTAACACTAGCTTCTCTAGTTAGCACTAGCTCGTCTAATAGCTAGCTAGTGCTAGCTAACACTAGCTTAAGAGCTAGCTTCACAGACGTTGAATTGGCCAATTCAACAGGTTATTATGTAGTGAGAAGTTCTATAGTGGTGCATTTGGTTTGTGACTAACTTCTCACTGAGGTCAGTACGTTTACTTATATTTACTTTTCTTTTAAGAAGTACTTATTATAGGAGTAACAAAACAGTAAAGAAATGCCCATCCATCATTCAAAATATACATAAATGAATGTGTTAATCACCGTAATAATAATTTGAAATATTATTATTTTAAGTTGATTATATTTTGGATTATTTACCAACTTAAGTTATTGGATTCAAAAAGTAGTCTCAGATGTTGTACTTCTGTACAATGTAGCAGAAAATGGAAATACTAAATCAAGTACAATGCCTCCAAAGTGTACTAATGGAGTAGTCTCCATCTGTGGGCATAACAAGGTCCTTTAGGGGAATATTTAAAGACAAATAGGTGCATAAATATATTAAAGCTTTTAAAGCATTGACACTTTGGCTAAATCAGATTTATATATTTCTTCTATGGCATAAACAAGCTTGTTATCCAGGTTGTACTGAAACCTTGTGAAAAGAAGAAAAGGCCAATGATGATCCTGATAACCTGACTTACTGCCCCCCCAGGATGAGCCTGTAGACGGCGCTCAGGGCCGAGCCGCGTCATGCCGTGCTCCTGCGCCCAGTGGAGGAGGTGGATCCGCCCCCTGGTTCTGGTTCTGTACGCTCTGCTGCTGCTCGCCGTGCTGCCGCTCTGCATCTGGGAGCTGCAGAAGGACAAGGTGCGCCTCCATCTTTACCTCCACCCTTCCTCATCCCCATGATTACCTCCGTCGACACCGCCATCCTTATCTACGTCACCTTCTTCTTTACCTCCATGACCACCATCCTCACCTCCGTTTTGTTTTCTTCTGTGTTTTGATTGACGCATTTATCCGTGCAGGTGGGGACTCACGGCAAAGCCTGGTTCATCGCCGGCGTGTTCGTCTTCCTCACCATCCCCATCTCGCTGTGGGGCATCCTGCAGCACATCGTGCACTTCACCCAGCCGGAGCTGCAGCGGCCCATCATCAGGTGGAGGAGGCGGGGCTTTACTGCACCTCACTGGGGGGGAGAGGGGCGGAGTCACAGTTTAACGACGAGCTTTAGTCACTTTAATGGGCGACGTACTGAATACGTTCAGTACGTCAATGAAGAAAGAAAGATCATTTTACCAGGGCTTTGATTTCATGTCGAAACCCAGCAGACAGAGAAAAGATGTGTTCAACAAGCGAAATAAATCATAGTTTTTGTCCTTGTATTTGTTCAGAATACTATGGATGGTGCCGATCTACAGTTTGGACAGCGTGAGTCACAATCTCACACACAGGAACAGCATTGCATTGGGTTGCCATGTCCTTTGTGTAACCTCCTCTATCATCTCTTGTCTACGTGTCCTAATTTCCCCCTCCCTAAACCCCTCCCCTCGTCTCGCAGTGGCTGGCCCTGCGGTACCCCGGCCTCGCCATCTACGTGGACACGTGCCGCGAGTGCTACGAGGCCTACGTCATCTACAACTTCCTGGTGTTCCTGCTGAGCTTCCTCAGCAACCAGTACCCGAGCCTGGTGCTGATGCTGGAGGTGCAGCAGCAGCAGCCGCACCTGCCGCCGCTGTGCTGCTGCCCGCCGTGGCCAATGGGAGAGTAAGCGGAGGTCACGTGACGGTCAGTGACTTGCTCACCACCTGGGGGCGGAGCTTAACACGGTCTGTTCTCTGTCTCTGCCAGGGTGCTGCTGTTCAGGTGCAAGCTGGGAGTCCTCCAGTACACCGTGGTGCGGCCCGTCACCACGGTGATGGCCCTGTAGGTGCCCCCTCTGCAACCACGGCGATGTGTGGTGGCTATGACACTGTGGCCTCACAACGCGCTCTCTCTGCAGGATCTGTCAGCTGTGTGGCGTTTATGACGAAGCCAACTTCAGCTTCAGAAACGCGTGGTCCTACCTGGTGATCATCAACAACATCTCACAGCTGGTACACACACACACACACACACACACATTTGTACTAAAACAAAGTCCTGTATGTTTTATTGACCCCCCCCCCCCCTCCCACAGTTTGCCATGTACTGCCTGGTGCTGCTGTACCGAGCGCTCAGGGAGGAGCTGACTCCCATCCGGCCGGTGGGGAAGTTCCTCTGCGTCAAACTGGTGGTGTTCGTCTCCTTCTGGTAGGAGGAAGGAGGACAGTCCCTGATCAATAACCCGAGCTTCAGAACGAATGTGATGAAGATGAAGTGGCTTAAAAACAAGAAGGAACGTTGTGTTTGAGCATCGTGATGTTCAATCGGGTGATTATGTGAATCCTCGCTTAGCGCAGACAGACGAAGCTCCTCCCCCTCGTTCTCCGCAGGCAGGCGGTCTTCATTGCGTTCCTGGTGAAGGTCGGCGTGATCTCCGACAAACACACGTGGGACTGGGACAGCGTGGAGGCCGTGGCCACCGGACTGCAGGTCACGTGACCTTTGACGCGGGACATTTGATTTGTTTTCTGTTAGATTCTGCTCAGGTTATTGATTGACAGATTGTTGTGTCGATGCAGGACTTCATCATCTGCATAGAGATGTTCCTGGCTGCCATCGCTCACCACTACACCTTCAGCTACAAACCATACGTCCAGGTAACCTGATGTCCATTTGCTTCGTCTGATCTGATCAATACAATATCATCTCGATCTGATCCCTCCAGGAGGCGGAGGAGGGGTCGTGTTTCGACAGCTTTCTGGCCATGTGGGATTTCTCTGACATCAGAGCCGATGTCACCGAACAGGTCCGCCATGCAGGTTAGTATCAGTATTATTATTATAACACTAGTATCAGTATTATTACAACACTAGTATCAGTATTATTATAACACTAGTATCATTATTATTACAACACTAGTATTATTATTATTATTACAACTCTAGTATTATTATTATAACACTAGTATTAGTATAACATTAGTATTAGTATAACACTAGTATCAGTATTATTACAACACTAGTATCAGTATTATTATAACACTAGTATCAGTATTATTACAACACTAGTATCAGTATTATTACAACACTAGTATCAGTATTATTACAACACTAGTATCAGTATTATTATTACAACACTAGTATCAGTATTATTACAACACTAGTATCAGTATTATTATAACACTAGTATCATTATTATTACAACACTAGTATCATTATTATTACAACACTAGTATTATTATTATTACAACACTAGTATTATTATTATAACACTAGTATCAGTATTATAACAACAGTAGTATTAGTATTAGTATAACACTAGTATCAGTATTATTACAACAGTAGTATTAGTATTAGTATAACACTAGTATCAGTATTATTACAACACTAGAATTAGTATTATTATAACACTAGTATTAGTATTATTACAACACTAGTATCAGTATTATTATAACACTAGTATCAGTATTATAACACTAGTATTAGTATAACATTAGTATTAGTATAACACTAGTATCAGTATTATTACAACACTAGTATTATTATAACACTAGTATCAGTATTATAACACTAGTATTAGTATAACATTAGTATAACACTAGTATCAGTATTATTACAACACTAGTATCAGTATTATTATAACACTAGTATCAGTATTATTATAACACTAGTATCAGTATTATTATAACACTAGTATTAGTATTGTTATAACACTAGTATTAGTATTGTTATAACACTAGTATTAGTATTGTTATAACACTAGTATCAGTATTGTTATAACACTAGTATTAGTATTATTACAACACTAGTATTAGTATTATTACAACACTAGTATTAGTATTATTACAACACTAGTATCAGTATTATTACAACACTAGTATCAGTATTATTACAACACTAGTATCAGTATTATTATAACACTAGTATTAGTATTATTATAACACTAGTATTAGTATTATTATAACACTAGTATTAGTATTATTATAACACTAGTATCAGAATTATTATAACACTAGTATCAGTATTATTACAACACTAGTATCAGTATTATTACAACACTAGTATCAGTATTATTACAACACTAGTATCAGTATTATTACAACACTAGTATCATTATTATTACAACACTAGTATCAGTATTATTACAACACTAGTATCAGTGTTATTACAACACTAGTATTAGTATTATTATAACACTAGTATTAGTATTATTACAACACTAGTATTAGTATTATTACAACACTAGTATTATTATAACACTAGTATCAGTATTATTATAACACTAGTAATAGTATTATTACAACACTAGTATTAATAATAGTAATAACCCTGATAATAATACCCCCCCCCCCCCTCAGGTCGCACCCTGCTGGGTCGTCCCAATAAGATGTACTTCGGCACGGCTTCTCAGCCCGAACACACCGAGCACACGGGCCTCCTCACGGCGTCCTCGTCCCAGGACCCCGTCGCCGCGGCGACCACATCGATGCCCTCCTCCCCTTCCTCGAGTGGGCGGTACCAAGGCCTCGGCCACACCTCTGCGGCGCACTCCATCTCCGCCCCAGCGGGGTTCACCTCCTCGTCCTGGGACAACGACAGCGACGGCTCCCCTCCTCGCTACGCCGCCGGGACATAGCCGAGGGGGGGGGTGTGGGGGGGGGGGGGACGCCACGAGGGAGAAACGCTCCGGTTCAAGTCGTATTGAAGGAGAGCGGAGAAGAGAAACAGTCTCTGTGATGTCACAGTATTTTTAAGTATAGTTAGTTGGAGTGTTTGGAATCTGTATTTGGATGTCACATGATGTCATTTTGATAAATGTATCTCCAGCTGTGGAAAAGAACACATATTTATTACATATTTAGATTGTTGTTTAACGGGATCACATGTAGCTCATCCACCATTATAAGAGCCAATAGGAGAACAGGCGCTAAAAGGGAAGGTTTTTTTTCCTTTGAAGCGAGTTAGTTCTTGTGTTGACCGGATCACGAGCCTGATGTGTCTCCTTTAACACTCGCCCAGTGTCCTCGGCCCGCTTTCACTGTTTGTTCTATCGTGACGAAATAAAAACTAAGACGCCTCAATCATCGAGGACCTGCTGTCGTTGGGTTCCTTCTCTGACCTCGTGGCCAAAGGAAAGGAAATAATGACAACGCGTAGTGGGATTTAACGAGTAATGTCGTACATTAAATATCATGTGATTCACGCTACATGTTTACTTGTGTTTCCTAAAATAGAAATTCTTCAATGGATCCGATTTTTCATGTAATGAAATTTCCATAATGTTTTGTTTCTGTTTGTGTTCCGTATTCTTTTCTCTGGGGGGGCCAATCGGACGGGTCCCAGCTGTCAGCCCCCCCCCCCCCTCTTCACTGAGGATGGGTGGGGTCTCCGTTGAAGCTTCACAATAAAAGCCCTGACTTCTACAAAAGAAGTCGAGGATACGAAAAGCGTTTCATCAAACTAAAACTGGTCAATGGATCAAACCTTATTGTTGCCTTGTTCATTTATTTAATGATTATGTTTTTATTTTTTGAGTTTATTGCCGATGTGGTGGGATTTATTGTTCTTAGCTAATATCTCCGGACTGGAGCTTCATATTTGACTCATAACGATCCGTCAGCGACGAGAGAATGAATGGAAATCCAAACGAAACCGTTGAAATTACTATAAGTTTCTTTGTTGTGATCCTTATTATTTGCCTCGGTGACTATATTGATTATCAAATCGCTGTCTGTGGCTGAACAAGATCTGAAATAGTGTGAACAAATACAATATATCTGCAAAAATA